TCAGTTCCTTTGACACCTCGAGTGTTGTTACCGTTGGCCTCCATTTTTATTTGCAGACTTCTGATGATTTTCTTTACATGATATGCATGGGTGTAGCCCTTATTGAAAACTTCTAATCCAGCCACAAGATTTTGAATCCTTGAAAACATATCCTCAATAGTTCCATGTTCTTCCATTTTGAAACCTTCATATCTCGGATTAAAGCCAATGCCTTAGTTTCCTTAACTTTCTCATTTTCTTCATGAGTCATTTTCAAAGAATTAAATATAGACTTAGTTGAGTCTCTATTTGTAATCATTTCAAACTCAGTATATGAAATAATATTCAACAAGTTTGTTCTTAGTTTGTGATGGTTTTTGTTGTCCTTCTTTTGCTATTTATCCATCTTGTTTCTTTCAAGATTTACACCATTTGAATTTACAGGATATGTGTAACCATCCTTTACCATATCTCATAAATTTGCATCATATCCAAGGAAGAAACTTTCAATTATATCTTTCTTATAGTCGATCTTTTCTCCATCAAGATTGAAGGCTTATCAGAATAATGATATTTATCATTGTTTCTTGTGGATGTCATATTATGTTTCTGAAAGTGGATCTTTATCTGACACGATTAAGTGTTTGATATGAAAGAGTCAATACCAGATTTTGATCTCTGATGCCAATCGAAGGTCCAAGAAACACAAGAAAGAGGGGTTTGAATTGGGTATCAGATACGACAAATTTTTACCAAGCTAATCACAAACCAAAGACACAAATAACAAAGATAAAAATACACAATGATTTTTATATTGGTTCACTGTTAACTAGGTTAATCCAGTCCACTCGCTAGAGTGATTTCACCTTCCCACAAGGACTTAATTCATTAATCAATTAGATTACGAACTCAAATACCAATTTTTAATGACTTCTCAAGGTTATTGACTAAACTTAGTCCTTCAAGGAAAAACTCAAAGATTTCCAGTCAATGAATTCTTGTGGCTACAGACTGAACTTAGTCCCTCAAGGAATAACTCAAGGTTACAATACAAAGATATGTGTTTACAAGAATGCTTCTTAACAAGTAGATACACATAATTAAACTCTTTTGTCCTCTTTATATAGATAATGAATAGAACCATTGGAGGATAGAATTGGAAACATCTTCAATTCCACAACTGTAATAGTGGTACGAGGTTGAGCTGTGAAATATGGAGTATTGTTGGTAGTACTGTTGCACCCCAAAATTTGACCAACATTTATTTACCTAGCTCATGTTTCATTTCATTCGCATTAGCATTATCATTTGCCTTTCATAGACATGTATGCAGGAGATCAAGAGGTATGAGTACCAATCAAGACTGTGAAGATAGCCAAGAAGGTTATTCAAGTGTTCAAGGGTTGATATCTTTGTCAGAGAAGTTAAGAGAGCCTCAGAGAGGGTGGTTGAAACCAAGTGTGTGTGTCTCCTAACTTGAAAGTTGTGGGAAGCCACCAGATGATTCTGAAGCCATGAATGTGGACTTGAAGCCTTGAGAGAGCTTATGAGATGTATTGAAAGCCATCATGAAGCCTTGAGAGAGCTCATGAGATGTCTTGAAAGCCATCATGAAGCCTAGAGAGGTCATTGTGTAAGATTAAGAAGCCTCAGCCATGAGTGGTATAATTAGGGTTTGACTGGGTCAACCCTAGGTCTATTGATGATTTGGAGAGGGTTGAGACCTAAACCAAGAGCCATGTGATCATGGATTGATGCATTGAGATGCTATAAGGATGATTCCAAGGTCAAACCATCATGATTGAAGAGTTTGAGAAGTTTCAAGCTAGGGTTTCTAGGGCTTGACAGTGTAAAATCCCCTAGTTTGACCCCTATCTTCAAGGCAGTTTAGCTCAAGATGTGATTGGCATCTCATCTTACCCCCAACATGAATGTTTTATAGCTTATTCTTAGATTTAATTTGAGTACTAAAAGTCCTTGATAAGATTTGTAGAGCTCAAGTTATGACTTTGACAAGTTACAGGTCATCTGAGGTATGTGAATCTGGGGCCTTGAAAGTCACCCAACTTGCATCAAACTTTTGCCCAAGAAGGATGATTCCTATGAACTTTTGGTAAACATGAATGTTGTTCCTTATCTTCTTAGCTTTCTATAGAGTACTATAAGTCCTTGATAGGATTTGTAGAACTCAATTTATGGCTTTGACAAGTCAATGGCATTTTGGTCATTTGGAGATTACAGGTCATTTCAAGCATAAGGCCATAACTCCTATTTCCAAGCTTCAAATGGAAAAATCTTCAACATCAAACTTGCTTAAAATGATGTTTTAAGGCTAGTAAGGAGGTCATGAGATGTTGAAAAGGCTTGTAGCTCAAAATGATAAAAATGACCTAAAATGAAGGCATAAGTTAAATAAGTCAAAGTTGGAAATTGAAATTTTCAAGCTACACATCCAAACCATGGCATGTAATATACCATTTTGACTCTAGAAAACATTTCAGAAACAATGGTTTAGCCACATTTTTGATTTGAGGACTAAATCATGGACTTGCTTTGGAAAATGGTTACTTGCATATTAAGCCACATATGCAAAACATAAGGAAGATCAATGCACAAGCTAGCAAAGCATCCTAACATCTCATGCATCTCATCTAAGGAGATTTTCAAAGGAGAACAAGTTGCTGCAATGAGCCAAACACAAGCTGGTATGTGAGATGGCTTGAATTCAAAAAACTCATGACATGAGAATCTCAAATTCTCATTGGATGATTCCAGAAAGTTCTGGATGGTTTAGAACCATCCTATATATTGATTAGAAGCTGCTCAGATGCAAGGTTGGTGAGGGTGGAGAGAAGAGAGTGAGATTTCCATTTCATTTTCTTCCATTGCAAGTTGAAATCAATTTCTATATTCTGCATCATTTCCATTGATTCTTTCTATTGTAACATCTTCCATTGATCATACTGAGTGAATCCATACCAAATTGAGAGCAAGATCATGAAGAATTGAGAAGATATCATTTGGATTTTGGAAGCTGCAAGTCACTATCGGATTCTGAGATTCAAGCACCTTTGATCAAAACTTTTGCAAACAGTAGCAAGATCTTGGCACAAGGAGTGATTCTGGAGAGATTGAAGGGTTGAATTGAAGATTTGACCTATCTGGTATTTGTTGTACCCCAAAATTTGACCGACCTCTCTGGCTTATGTTTTATTTCATTGCATCAGCATATACATAAGCATTGCATTGCATAGCATTTTGCATTTCACAGGGGATCAAGAAATGTGTGTCTAACAAAAAATTACCAATGGTTTTTAACCTGATCAAGGAGGTTATATTCAAGTCACCAAGTGGTTACCTTTATCAGAGACAAGTCAAGGTCCTTGAAGACAAACAGATAAGCATATGTGGTTGTCAGGGGCAGAAAAATAAAAAAAAAATATATGTTGCTTCCATCATAAGATTGAGCTGAATTGGATAGGTTTTGGTTGGGGTTCATTAAGTAGGAATGAGTGAAGTATATGTCGAAGTCCAGGTTTGACTTAATTCATCAGCAAGAAAGGGATCTATTTTGTTATCAAGGTCATGGTGCATTGATTTAAATGGTGTGTGACTAAAGCCCCAACCAGGGTTATGTGCAGTGTACCGAAGTTCATTTCTCAAGTCATAATATTTTGATTTTTCAAGAAGTGTTCCATGAAGGTTTCAACTCATCACGTTTTCAAATGGAAAACATCAAGAATGATTTGACAATTGACTCATGATTAAGTTTGTTCTGTGACTGACTTTAATGCTCAAGGACTAATTCAAAGTATCATCCAGGTCAGGGAAGATTTGAGAGTAGTTTTAATTGAGAACACACAATTATTTGTGATTTCAATTATGATTGCTTTCTAATCAAGAAATGGAATAAGTCAGGGCATTGCAGATTTATTTCAAAGACTTATTGTATTACTAAAACGTATGATTCAAGTAATTTGCAAGAGAATCACTAAAGAATCCATTATTTTGTTTCAAGCATATTACTTGAACCCATATACGTTCATCATAAAATATCATGACCAATACAAGAAATGTTACACAAAAAACCCATGGACAATTTAAGCCCATTACACTAAAAAGGCTCACGGGAAGTTACTGCAAATGAGAGGTCCTTTACATCATCAAACTATGGAAATTCATTTTGTTAAAAAGAGCAAGTTTCTGTCAATTCACACTACAATTCCACGAGCCTTTATTTTGTTTTGTTCAGCCATCTCCTAAACCGCAAAGCGAACGACGTTACGCGAGCTCAGTCAGGCCTCAATGCACCGTTGATTCCCACGCACCTTGCCAAACCGTTGTGGACACCACATGAAGTCAATAATTCACAACAACTCACTGTGCAATTTCGACCTGCAGTACAACAAAGTAGCCAAACTATCACAATGATACTCAGTGAGAATTCCATAACAGACCTTCAGAACACCTCTAACCGGCACCAACTTAGCTCCTGCATCAGCTCATGATTCACCTGCATAGGCAACAACAATAAACTATGACTTGAATTCAACCCATCAACACATACCTTACAGGGAAAATAAAAATTTGACCGGAACTGCAAGATATGCTAGCACGAATACTCACCTTGGCATTGAACAAAGTCGAAGAGATGATTTAGAGTCTCTTGGTTATGTTTTGATGTACTTCTTGAGAGGGAGTTTTCCTTGGCAGGGACTTAAAGCAGGAACCAAGAAACAGAAGTATGAGAAAATTAGTGAAAAAAGGTTTCTACATCGATTGAAGCCTTGTGTCGGGGTTATCCAACAAAATTTGCATCTTACTTCCATTACTGTCGCTCATTAAGGTTTGATGACAAGCCAGATTACGCGTATCTCAAAAGGATATTCCGTGACCTGTTTATTCGTGAAGGATTCCAATTTGATTACGTGTTTGACTGGACCATCTTGAAGTATCAGCAATCACAGCTTGCCACACCTCCAGCACGGGCCATCATTCCTGGTACTGGAACCAGTTCTGCAATGCCACCTGCTGTTACCAATGCTGACAGACATACAGGAGCAGAAGAAGGGCAACCCCCTGGTTTGGTATCAGTGGATTCCTCGAGGCGCAGAATGTCAGGACCCGTTTTGAATACTCTTTCAAGTGCCAATGTCTTGGGTCAGTCAAATGGATCATCCAGGCGAGTTGCTGTTTCTAGTAGCCGTGATGCATTTGTTGGTGCTGAATCAGATGTTCGTACACGCACTGCTGAGGCTAGCTCTGGAGCAGCACACCGAATTTTGGGTGGGCAAAGAAGTTCACCGATCGGGTCTTCTGATCCTCAGAGAGTAACACGGGCTGGAAGAAATGCTTCTCATGCCAATAATTATGAAAGTGCCCTTAGAGGCATGGACGGTTTGCAGTTAGAAAATGACGAGAGGACCCATTATTAATATCTCACCTTCTCATCTTGTGAGTTGATAGCCATCACAAAAGCAAAAGTTGCTTTATGTTGTGAAGTTGAGCTGTGAAGTTTGGATCTGAACTTGAAAATCCAGGTCTGTGTTGCTAACTCGTCTGCTCAATCGAGTGCTTATCTGTGAAGTTCAGGTTTAATTGGCGCTTCACTTCTGACCGAAACACAGCTCGTACTTCGCCACTTGATCATCAGCAGAACCTGCACAATCACAAAATTGAGGCAGCAACAATTGTCCAATTGTGATTTAGAAGAAGAACAAACAAATCAAGGGATTCATAAAACTTTAAACAAAATTTGTACAAGGAATGGGGGTGCTGTTTTTACCGGCGAAATCAAAGGCCAGTCACAACATCAAAGCAAGTCGTTCTGTACAGCATTGTGAAAACGCAACATACCAGCCCACACACAACCAAACCACTGCTACAAGCCTACAACAAGACAAAAACACCATAATGAAACCTGCTACACTCAACATCCACACCAGACCAACTCTGTTACAACCAGCTAAAAACCCTCCAATAAACCAACACCTGCAAAACTTCCCAAACAATACTAGCAAAACCTGCTCCAATTCTGCATAGCTCTATCCTGAAACACTCCATCAGAAAAGAGAAAGACAAAATCACTGCTGCAAGGACTGTACCGACCTGGACAAACCTGCAATGAAAAAGAAAACCCACACCAGACAAGCTTTGTTAAAAAACCAACAGACCTGCAAACACACAGCCACTACTGGTACAGCAACTTGTACTACCCTCAGTCACTCACACACCAAAACTTGCACGCCAGACAATATATTGGTATGACCCTGCTGTTCCTGCTTTTGGGCTCCATAATAGAGCAAAAAATCATCATAATATAAAAACACCGTTGAATATCAAGGAGAAGAACCTACATTGTGGAACCACAACCTTTGAACTTCAACCAAACAGTGGTCTTAACTCTGAGAAAACCTTCACAACTCTATTGATCTTCATTTATCATCAGCTCCATCAGCTCACTATCATCATCTTTTTCAACTTGAACCTCCAACTCCAAGCAACGACTTCTCATACTTCCATTTTCAACCAACCGTGAACTCAGAACACTTCCATAACCAAACGAATCCTCTTCAACACAACTCAGAAATATCATTGAGCTCACTCACAACCATCATCATCTTCATAGCATTTCAAACCAAATATCAAACGTAACCCTACCTTCAACTCAAAACATGTAAACACCATCATCATCAACATTAACCAACAGCCGTTCACGACCTTTTCTTCTGACCAAAACGCGTCTCCTCCCTTACCTTCATCACCAACCTCACTCCATTTCTGAACGAGACATTTTCCAGAAAGAACAACCAAGAACTCACTCATCCCCTCTTCCGCGAAAAACCCAGCGAAGCTTCAAACATTCATCATCATCCATGACAAAAAAACAACAACAACACGCCCACCGTTGATCTTCTCAAACGACAACAATACCTTTCAGCTTCAAATCTCACAAACATCATAATTCCAGCCATCATCTTCTTTAACTCTAAACAGACCTTCTTCGCCGTTTCCAAATCTCCACCAACCAGACATCAACATAAGCCATCGAGCCCCATCTGAACCCTACACAACACGCACCGAAAGCATCCTTAAGAAAATCATGCACAAACCCCATTTAACAAACCAGAGCAGAATCGAATTGAAGAAGGTAGGAACAAACGAGAAATCATCGGACAATCTAAACCACCATAAATCGAGAGAAATTATTCCTCAAGCAAGAACCAACACTCACCTGGAGATGAATGGGTGAGACGAAGAATACGGTAAATAAATCACAAGATCGTTGTATTGTTTTTGCTGTCTGAAACGCGTTGCCTCTCACTTCCATGCCGTTTGGATGCGTTTTTTTCCTTCATCAATGGTGAACGTGACAGTTTTTGGTGAGATGGTAGGTTTTTTTGTGCCCGCGTGATTCCCACGCTTGTGCCTGTATTCACCATTCGTTCCCGGCAAGCATTGTTGTGGGTGAATGGGCCAATGGGCCCATGATGATCCCACTCGTTCCTGAACTATCACCCCTGTTTTATTTTCATACTATCCTTTGTTTTTTTTGGTTTATTAGGTTATTATTATTAGAATTATAATAATATTATGTATTTTGTTTTGTAAAATATTTATATTAGATTTTTCTTTTAACTTATTTCAATTTCTTTTAGAGTAATTTCAATATTTTCTTATATATGATTTTTATTTCTTTTTTTATTTGGGCATTTTTGCCATTTTGGGTCGATGACGAGACCTCCGTAATTCATTACCAGTCAAATTATTGATAAGTAATGTTGGATCTGAGACCACCTTTTTTCTCTCTTCGTCACTTGTCCCAACTCGATTCAAAAACATTGACAAACCATTTTCAAATAAAATTCCTTGTATTGAATTAAAAGAGGGGATTAAGTGTAGACTTTCTTCCTTTCCGAGTGTTGGGATGCCCACTGTAGTGAGGGTGGTTTCGACACTCGTCTTTCAATACGAAGACGCTTCCCATCCATTTTCAAATCTCATCTCCTTAAAATCAATTCTTTGTATTGAATTAAAGAGAGAGGATTGGGTGTAGACCTCTTCCTTTCCGAGTGTTGGGATGCCCACTGTAGTGAGGGTGGTCTCGATATTCGTCTTTCAATACGAAGACACGCCTCCATCCACCACCTATCCCTTTCACGACTCCTTTCCGTAACCCTTGTCACCTAAAACCTCGGTCTCGCACCGAGTGCATTTTCAAACTTCTTTTCATAACAAAAACTTGAATGATCGTGGAGTGGTTAGGCGTAGGCCTTCTCCTATCCCGAGTGCTGACGTTTACCGTAGGGTTCTCTGTCGCAAAGCACTTACCATTCAAAACCAAAAACACTTAATAAGAGAACGAAACTCTCTTTATGTTGAATTAAAGAGAGAAGATTGGGTGTAGACCTCTTCTTCTTCGAGTGTTGGGATGCCCACTGTAGTGAGGGTGGTTTCGACGCTCGTCTTTCAATACGAAGACGCCTCGTTCGCCACACCCTTTTATAACAAAAACTTTGAGATAACGAATTGGGTACTACCCGTAGGGGTTACTATCCGAGGACATGTCTCGCCCCCTAAAAAACAGTCCAATCCATCAAACGTGACTTCTTGCCTCGCGTGGCGAAAACCTAATCTTTCAAAAAGGATATGTTACGTCCGTTCTACCGCAAACAGGTACGCATAAGTCTCCTCACATGCGAGCAGCAAAACACCTAAACTGCTAGAACACGCACGATAACATCATCCCCAAACACACCGGTTATCCGCACCGTAGGCACGAACTACGTTGCTCTGATTTCTCTTGCATGTTGAGAATACGTAGGCATAGGATTGCAATATCCTAGCGAGCACCCTTTTTATTTTTCACCCTTTCCCAAAAAGGCATGCTACGTCCGTTCTACCGCAAATAGGTAACGCCTAAGTCTCCAACGAGCGAGCAGCAATGCACCTAACTGCTAGAATGCGCACGATAGCAGCGTCTACCAAGACTTCCTCGCACACCGTAGGCCGAACTACGGCTGCTCTGATTCTTTACTTCGTTCAAGTAAAGATATGTAGGCACAAGGGCCACAATCCTTGCCGAGCACATTCCCCCCTATATCTGTAGTTCCCCGAACTACGTCGACTCTGACTTTCTCACATCTATTGAGAATACGTAGGCATAGGACTGCGAAGTCCTACCGAGTATGTTCTTTCTCTTTTCTTCCCCATTCTCTCTTTCCTCCTAACTTTCTTGTTTCTAACCTTTTCTTTTACCCTGTGGAACACTTCTTATAGCATAATGTTTAAGCAAATAAATTCACACATCGACAAACAAAAGGTTCCCATCGAGTACGATGGATGCGAGGGGTGCTAATACCTTCCCCTCGCATAACCGGCTTCCGAACCCGTTCTTGGTTGCGAGACCAACTTATCCATTTATTTCTTAAGGTTTTCTCGATATTTTCCTTTCCCCTCATGGGATAAATAAAGTTCGGTGGCGACTCTTCTGTCTATCTTTCTCGCCTCCCCATCGTTGCGCGATGCATTTTTCGAGTAGTGACAGCTGGCGACTCTGCTGGGGATGCATGCCTAGCAAGCCAGGCCTATTTTGTTTGTCGCATTTGTGCTTTATTTGTTTTTGCTATTTATTTTATGGTTGTGTTTCTTTCTAACTTGTTGGGTTCATTTGGTTTGGTTTATGAGGATAAAGCTTTCTACCCGAGCTTTCGAGTATGCACTAAGTTAGGAGGTGGTTTCTTTCTGATTTGCGAGACTTAGGACTCGTTGAGTTGGATCAAATTCCACCGCTCAGATGAGACCCCGTTGGAATAATGATGTCTTACGTGTAGTCGTAATGGCGTTCTTATTTCCAACTTGGGAGTCCGCGATTCTGAGGACCTTTTATAGAACCTTATTCCGAAGGTTGCTAAAACATAACTCTGTGTTCATCCTTTTGAAAGGATTACCGTCTTACGAGTAGTCGTTATGATGGGAAACTTTTGAGGGTTAGTGCATGGGACTTTGTTTGAAAAGCCTTTGGAATACCCTCTTATAAACCGATAGATTGCCCGCCCGAGGGGAGAGATATCTCGTTGTGCTGTCTTGCAGGAAACTTTGACCTTCATCCTGCCCGTTTGTCAGTATGAACAGTTACAGGGGGATCCTTGTACTAATGTTGTTTCAAGGCGAAGCGCGGGTCCGTCACAATCAACAACACAACAACATTTGATCCCCTGTTACATTTGCATAATCATTTGCATTACTTTACAGGTCTTGCATATTGCATCATTATTCATTTGCATAGAGGTGTTCTATTTCTGTGAACGTTATTGCTTCATGTGGTTTTCCATCCGGTTTGTTCCAGAATTGAAGATCCAGCCATTCACCAGTATTCCACCAAAAGAAATCAACAGAGACGATTATGGAACAAATTCGAGAAGAGTTGAGGGGA